CACTTTCACCACGGCCAGATCTCCGGAAGGGCCACAGGGGGCCAAGGAGGGCCAAGAAGCCAAGGAGGGCCTTGCGATGCGCAAGTCGCAGGGCCAAAGCTCCCGAGAAGCGCCAAGCAGGGGGAGGGTCGAAGTGCATTGGAACGCAAACTTCCTCCCTAAAAGGGTCACGGGGCCAAGGAGGGCCAAGAGGGCCAATGAAAACCGGCAATGCAACGTGTACCAGAGGGCTGGGCAACGGAGGGTTATGGAAGGCGAGAGGGCCGGCCCACACCAAAGGTGGGGACAGGGTCGGCGGACATACATACATACATACATACATACACACATACACACATACACACATACACACATACACACATACATACATACAAACAAACAAACAAACAAACAAACAAACAAACATACATACATACATACATACATACATACATACATACATACATACATACATACATACACATACACATATACATATACATATACATATACATATACATATACATATACATATACATATACATATACATATACATACATTCATACATACATACATGCATACACATATGCATGTACACATACATACACAAAAACATACACATACACAAGTTGGGGGTACCACCTGAGCTTATTTACATGTTGATCTCCATGCAACCGTTTGGCTCAAGGCCCCTCTTCTACGGCAGAGAAAAGGTTATACGATAAGACAATCCTACCAGCGACTTCCAGATACACTCCATGGGATGGACATGGTGGCTCTCCCGCACTTTCATCCGACTTGCTGCAGGCGTGGCCCTGGTCTGAAAGAACTCTCTCGTAATAAGTGCGCCCCAAGCAATGTTGCGCTGCCAAGCCCAGAACAATACCGATTGTCCGGACAGGCAGCGTTCTGAGCGATGATGAGCGGCGGCGCCTGTCCCAATGCGACCTCACTTTCATGGAGCTTTGCGCGGCATGGAAACGGGCACCATGGTGGTGCACCTGCTTACGGAAGTGCTTCGCGAGCACGACATCTGCATCCAAGCCTCGTGTCTAGCAGTCTTAGTGTCGCCGTTTCATGGCAAGGAACGATGGGCAAATTCTGTGTCACCCCTGCGTGAGCGGCCAAGGCCGAGTGCACAGCACACACGGAATGCGTCATCAAGGCCATGGCGACATCTCCAATCCTAGATGGTGGAGGACCGTGGCTTGGCTGCGGCTGACCCAGACCATGTGATTTTGAGTGTCACGGCGTTGGCTCATCTGCGCATGGTCCACCTCTAACTCAGGTCTGGAAGAGCCATGCTGCAGTTTGGACCATCTGGATGCAGTGGACTACGCTGTCGCCCGCGTCTCCTTAGACTGGAGTGGCAAGCCTGAGCCATTGCCGCAGCAGCGTGGCACTCAGGCAGTTGCTGCTGCCCTTGAGGAGCGTGTACTCTGGCGCGTGACCCATGGACTTCAGAACCTGAAGCTGCAGCTGCAAGCGCTGGGCCTCACACTGAGCGGGAAGTTGACTCTCTGGCCCGCATGATACACTTGAACAAGCCGTTGCATTTGGACAGCCGCGTGCACGTGCTCAACATTGGCGATAGCCTTGGAAGAACACGCTTCGCTTGGAAGCTGCACACCCTTCTGATCGGATTCCGTCAAGGCTCGGAGTTTGCGAATTTAGCAGCGCAGCAAAGGCTTCCACGGCCGATGTCGTGGCAAGTACAGAAGCCTTGAGCTGAGTCCCTCCGCGTAGGGGAATACCATGGGTCCATTTCAAGTTTGGCCTCGGATACGCGCGTCATGCTGCCTCCCCGTCAGCTTCTTCTCCTTCACCCGTCTCTCCACTACCCTGCTCGCTAGCTAGCCCTCCTGTCCCTCGCCGTCCCGTCAATCCTCACCCCCGTCCTCACCTTCACTCACTAATCTCCCGCCCTCCATAGGAGCGTCCCGGTCTTCTTTAAGAACTGCAAGCCAGATTCTCGGTCCGGAAAAGGTGGAAGCTGAAGCGCTGTACCGATCGAACGGTCAGCTGGCCAAGCCACGAACGCATCCGTGATGGACACGTCGCCAACAAGTTCACCGTCTGGCCACGCGGAAACGCTCCGCATCCCTCACAGCATTCATCCACAATTCCCGCAAACCAGGCTTGAAGCCAAACCCTCCATGGCAGAGATAGCCGTGGACATGAGCGGTTCCGATCCCGCTGCAGCAGCTGCAGTGCCAAACGGCCCTTAGGTTCTCCCATGCCATTCCCGTCACCCTTGCTCTGGTACGCTCCAATTTGGTTGCGGCCCAGGATATGGCCATGTGTCAAAAACTATGAACCACCTACGTGAAACAATTTCCATCAAATTTGCTTGATTTCGAGGGGCAAGTAGACTAACCCATGGCCTATGATATGACAGCTGTGGACACATATTTGCTGGCTCCACCAAGTCGCAATTGCATAAACGTCACCATCCTGTCATCACTGCCCGATTCGTCACAAGTGTCCGAACAAGACAGCAGCATGATCCAGAAACAGTCCATATAGTGACGATATTGACGATTCCCCCAACGGCCAAATCGCTGCTATGGCTGCTATCGTTTCAATGCTATGTCTATGGATTGAGATGTTACACCTTGCCAGCCCCCCCTGCCCAAAGGAGGGGTCCAATCCGGCTACGCCTCCTGGCGCTAGGCAATTAGCCTGCTAGCTTTAGCTATAGGGGCTGCACCCTGGTGCCGCCGCCCCTCGCCACTTGGTCGTGATGCCATGACA